AGAGAGAGAGAGAGAGAGAGAGAGAGAGAGAGAGAGAGAGAGAGAGAAGACCAATGTTACCCTGAAATAAGAATAGTAACTTTTCGAGCTAAAAATGAATATGCTGCCATTTCAATTCCGAATCAAAGATCTCTGGTTGGTTCATTGCTCAAGCTTAAAATAAGCAAATTGAGGCAGCATTCGGACATTTTAATGGTTGAAACAACTGCACCCATCAAAGAAGATAAAAACTTCACTGATGCCATTATTCTGTTATAAGGTTGTCTTTACTGCACTCTATTGTACTCATGGTGTTTATATGGAGACTAATTTTGTTATTATTTGTCACTTGAACTTATAATATAATGTACTGACTGCCTCCTGATTTATATCCAACAATCCCACTTTGGCTGGTTAGAGCAGTGTCCTGTTAGTGGGTGTCATCATTAGTTTCTTTATCTTTGTTCTTCTGTGAATTTGTGCAGCTATATGATTAAAATATTTGAATATAAATGGTGTTGATAAGAAGATTGTGCTTCAGAGGCTTCAAAACTGCATCGAGGGATAATACAACTTGTATTCATTTTGATATTTCTTTTCACTGCAATGCTTTAAGAAAACTCTATACAAACAAACTTGAAGAACTATTTCTTGCCTCAAGATAAAATCATGAGAGTCTTCTGTTCTAGTACCAAAACAATTAGTCGTTAATCAATCAACAGTAAATTAATCATCGACATTTTAGATAATTATTTATTGGTAAGTTAACCCCCCAAAAATGGTCAATCCGCTTCTTAAATTGTGAGGATTTGCCTCTTTCTCTGTTTTATGCATTTTTAAATTGCATATCTTTGACTTTTGGACTGTTGGAGGGACAAAACAAGCAAATTAAAGACATCCCTCAGGGCTTTTATTCAAACACATTTTATAGGCTAAACAACAACACCACTGCTTCGGTTGTTCTGCAAGTGTGTGTGTGTGTGTGTGTGTGTGTGTGTGTGTGTGTGTGTGTGTGTGTGATAGTTACCCTCTGTTTCTCGGGGTCCACATATCGAATACCAAAGTAGTCTTTCTCAAGTAGGTTGTAGTGGTTACACACATGGTCCAGGAGGAACTGGCCTTTAGTGTCTCTCTGTAAAGACATAAAACACACAAATCCTGTTAAAATTGAAGGGCATTATTTTGTGAACAGTCTGCTTCTTTCATCCAAGCAATGTCTCCATGCATGGTGATAATAAATCCCATAAACCTCACACCTGCATCGCTGTGCCATAACAAACAATCCCCTACCCCCTGGGTGATATTCCCGTGATGCACATGTCGTATCAGGGTGAAACATACATGTCAATAGCTTTTAGGTCGCTTGGCAACAGTATTTCTGGCGGTCATATTCCAGACACAGCCTCCTAACATGCTGGTAAATAAAGTTCATAAACAGATCATGAACACAGAGAGATCAATAATCACTCTGCATTTATTACCTTCCCCATAGTCAATATGTACTCATCACATACAGAAGCACCCAAGCATTGCCATGTTTAAGTCTATGTAGCTGAGCACAAAACAACACTTTTAGGTGTCAATAAGGTGCGACCATACTTGTGCGCACACACACATAAAATAAAATATACATACGCATGATGCTGCACGTGTGTCAAGACTTGTGATTAAGTGTGTGTGTGTGTGTGTGTGTGTCCTATGACTGTTCTATAACCTGCTGATGGATGTGGATTCAGTGCTCAGTTAAGCAGGACTAATTGATTCAGTTGGAAATCATCAAGTTTGCCCTTGTTGTGATTTATTCACCACTGGAGACACACAAACACACACAACACAGCTGGGTCTCTGGCCACAACATGTATTACTACCAATCGGCACTAATGTCAGAATGCCAAAAAATCATGACGCTTCTCCATAGCAACTGATCACTTCTTTTACGTACTTGACTGTACTAATAAAGACTAATCATGGCTGGTTGTGTCCCAGACACACTTTTAACTGCAGGAGGAACCTGTCCTGATTGTCTTTATTGACTGTGAATCACTTTTTTACACACTTCTTTTACACTAAAGGTGTCCCATGTTTTCTGCAGGCCACAACCTCCGCGTCTGAAAAAAGAAGCCAATGCCAAACTGCTTTAAACTAGTTTCAAGTCTTCGTCAATACAGCATGATGTTAATTTAGTAAAATGATGATCCCTTCGAGAGTAAAATAGACAAGACAGCAGGGTACGCTTTAGGGAGTGGCTACCTTGTGATTGACTGGTCGCTTACCACGACATTGTCCAGTCTGGGAGTTATGTTAGTTAGTATGTCTAACCCTTTCACAGTGTGTTTTCACTTCATGAAAGTTCAGGAACCTCTTCGGTCACCTAAAATGTCTTGTTCAGCGCTCGGCCCACCCTCTTGTGTCACTTCTGGTTGCAAAATAAACAGATGGACGACAGCCATAAACCAAGATGGTGGCAGCCAAATTGCCAAACTTCAGGCTTCATAACAACAGTCCGCAAACCAATGGATCACTTCATGGTGACTACATCCACTTCATATAATAGTCTATGATGTTCTGTTAACAGCGTCTCAGTCTTCTTTGAATGGAAATGGTTGAGAATCAGGCAGAAACTTGTCTGACATCCCTGATGTTTTTCTCTTCTATCAAATGGCTGCCATGTCAGCAATGGTTGGTATATTTTGTTCTTAATCAACATGCAAGCTGAGGGCATTAGCTTGATGCATTAGCTTTGTTTGCTAATTCTATGTGCAGACATTTGCATCTTATACGCACCATAGGGTGAGTTATTGACAACGGCTGCAGTTGAATAAGGCGTGAACCTCAGTAACAGGCCAACTCAGTTCAGCAGATAAAATAAAAGAGCACTTTGTTCAGTTATAGCAACAACCCAGCGTGATAGCAGAAATATATCAATCTCAAGTTAATTGGAACTTGGACATTTTTTCACTCACATTTAGCCTATAGTCTTTAGTTTAATTTTCTCCATCACTTTCGCTGACACCTCCCCCATCTTCACCATGAGCTTCAGGATGTTTAGGGAGATTTAACTAAGAATTTCCATCTTACACCTGCTGGCTTTACTTCACCAGCAGCGTCTACACTGTCTTCATGAAGCGTCTTCATGAAGATTCATGAAGATGCTTCAAGTCACTGGAGCTAATTGTCAAATAGTTGCCAACCTCAATAAATATTGTTATTTACGTACAGTTCATCACTACTCAATGATATGCAACCTGAGGTTGTGCCTTAACTTCTCCAGTCCTTCTCTTCTCCAGAAAATCTCTTGGAACTCTTGGAACCTCTTTTGTGGTGAATAAAAAGTGAAACAGATCTTAAAGTGACTCTGTCTTTTGAGGCAGAGCAGTCATTCAGTGATTTTGTACAAATAGTATAAGTACCCGTCACACAGCATCTAAACCCTTGAAGCTGTGCATATGTTGTGTTTGGTCAACACTGCAAGCTCTCACCAAGGCAATCTTTTCGTGGTGAATCATGCTCCATTTGTCAGTAAACAATCTTGTTATGTGCAGTAATTGCAGTAAATGGTACACTGTAACGAATTGCTGTAAATTTACGGTGGATTTTCAACGGTATCTTACATGATTTCATATGACTGTAACATACAGTTAATTGTTCATCCCTCGCATGTAAATTAACAGTTAATGCCATAAATTAACAGTTAATGCTGTGAATTAACAATAACAGCAGAATACTGTAATGTATCAGCATGATACAGTATTTTTTGTGAAGTGGTGGATATATGCATCTCTATACAAGTTCAGTGAATCACAATCCATCTACATCGTCTATTGTAGGTTAATGTGTCTGTAATGACGATAGAATATTTTTATTTTTCAAACTGCTCATTGCCTACAAGTCATTTTTGAGTGACAAGACATGACCGACTGCTCCTAAACGTGACTCTGGACACAACAGCTTCAGTTCATCCTTCACAGCCATGTGGAGATCAACCGAGGAGCCGCTTGTCATCCGAAATTAAAATTAAAAGTCTCCGTTATTGTTCTGTCTTCATGATTATTGAACTGTTAACATCTCAGATAATGTTCCACTTGTTCTGTTTCGTTGCATCAGGTTGCTAATATTGGTGGAGCCAGCTCTGTGACGTTAGCTAGCTCGAGCTCAAGTAGCCTCAGAAAGGTTAGCTAGCTAACAGCATAGCAAGTTAATTTAACATAAATAAAGTTAATCACCAATTACAGTGTTAAGATGTAACGTTAGTAACATAACTTGTGCTGTTATTGAACCGACTGTAGGACTGCAATCGAGACGATAATCAAAAGGGAGAGCGGACCAGAAATCGCAAGCGTGTGCTCAAGACGATGAACAATCGGACCAGGGAAACCGGGGCACCCTCCCGGAGCCAGACCAAGGAGGGCAGCTCGTCAGCGAGTGTCTGGTGGCCGGGCCTTCGCCCATGGGGTCGTGCTCAGCCCAAAGAAACAACATGGAGTAGCCACCCTGTGGACCCACCAGCCGCAGTTTAAACACTATTTCACTGAATAAACACTAAAAAGTCCCGACATGCACATCTCTAATATATTTTTTTTCTCTAAACCTGGGGTGTCCAAACCTTTTTCAAAGAGGGCCAGATTTGATCATGTGAAAATGCCCAAGGACCAACAGTCCCTGCTGACATTATTTTAAACAATAAAAGTTGCCTATAAATACACTGTTATTTAATAATTGTATTTTCAATGACACAGCAAATAGCAATGTAACCAAATGTAAGCATTCAGGTGTGAACAAATCTCAACAACTATTCTACCTTTCTTTCACATCTTGAAAGTCAGATGACATAAAGAACAAGCCTAAGCTAATTACCTAGAAACTGATCTATATTTTCACCTCAAGACAATCCTAAATATGACTTAGTGAGGGTAGTGAAAAGTTGTCTAACATTTAAGTTCAACTAGCCCTGGTCTTCAATCAAAGATCATTCAGAAAGTGATCTTTTGTGTTATATCAGTTACATAACTCAAACCCTTAACTTATTCAAAGGTTTAAAGTAAGTGCCATAAGTCCAAGTGTAGATTTTAAATGTGGGGGTCAAGCAGGAGTACAGAAATTGAATACTAGGCTTTGTATGTATAGTTCCCAACCTTTTTAGCATGTAGTTGCTTACGTGTGACACCTCATCACAGGAAATAGCCTTAGTGTGGATATGAACTTGAGCAGTTAAATAATAAAGATAAATCTCTCTCAGATTGTTTAATTTAAAGAGCTTTTAGATGCCTCTCAAAGAGGAAAATATGCAATATTTAATTTAAAAAAAAAGAAGAAATAAAACCTTAGATAAAGTTTAGTCTAACAGACATGTATGTTTATTTATGCTGGATTCTTTAATTATCTTGTCCTCCGGTTGGTAATCACTGCTTTAAACATTCACATTTGTATCAAGAATATAACTTACATGTGGACGACAGACCCGCATTTGTAAAGAATTATCAGGGTTGGAAAGATCGAAGTATGTTCACTCTCGATATTAAAGTACAATTGAAGTAGGGTACAGTTGTTGTGCACTTCTACATTACTTGAGTATCTCCATTTTGAGCTACTTTATACTTCCAGTCCTCTACATTCCACAGGGAAATATTGTAGCTACTTTTTACTCCACTACATTTAACTGGCAGCTTTTAGTTACTTTTCAGTTTTACACATACAACCTATGAGTTGCTAAAATAATATATTGTTAAGCGTTAAGCCTACATTGTTTTTGGCCTATTATGTGTTAGAGCACATCAGCTGACCGTGTGATCGCTCTGGGCATGCGTGCTCCCGAGAGGTGGAGGTTTGGCATCTCACGAGGCGCGGCTGTCACAGCGGCACACAGACAGAGGGGAAGGTAAACTCCCGACTCAAGCAAAGGTAAGTGTTGGAGAATAAAACGACCTTTTGTGGAACTCATTGCATCTCGCCCTCAGGGACCAGAGTCCAAATTAAGGGCGATGCTTCAATTCGTGTACCACTTAATTAATAAAACAGTACTCTGATATCGAGTTATGACCATGTTAAGATGAGGGGAGAACATCTTTCTTTGTTTGATAACATTAAAAGTAACATTAGACGAATGCAGACAACAATGGGCTGAAGGAAGCTTTT